AATTGTGATGGAGAGGGGGTCAATAGGAGAGTGAAAGCAAAATTATGATAAAGAGTCCCAAAGCGATAAAAGGAAAACAACAGAAAACGATGAGAGAAGTGAAAACTTTTGAACAGATACAAGAAAGCATGATAAGTGCAATAGGGCGCCAAGATATAGAGAGATATAACGAGATATAACGAGATATAACGAGAGTAGACGATTGTGAGGGATGAAAGCTGGAAATCGAAAAATCCACGTCGATAACAAGCAGATGAAAGACGATAAGCTGCACGTATAATTCATCCTCTTCAGGATTTAGAAAGGAAACGAACAAACAAAGATGGCGAAGCGGCTTTGGCCTAACAAATAATGGATGATGGGATATAACGACTAATTGAGTTATTATCGGACGCCGACTGTATCGCAGTTGCACTAATGGGCGAATTACTTCCGATCCAATGAAACCGTATCTTAACAACCTTAGTGATTATTAATATTATTATTTTGTGCTTCATTTTATTTTCTCACAGTATTTTACGTCTGTTTGTTTTTTTTTTCATTTTCGTGCAAACTTAGAGAAAATTTGCTGACCTTCCAAAATGGCTCTGCGTGAAAAGTTGCACGAAAATTTTATTGAGGGTAGAAAGAACAGGATAATACATTCGAAGTGAAGGATAACAGAGTAAGAAGAACGATATAAGAAAGAAAATGGTAAACAAAAAGGATGAAGAAAAAGAGGGTAAGAAAGAGTATGTATGAGAGAAAGGTTTAAGAAAAAGATATAAACAAGAATAGGGTAAGAAGAACAATGTTTCGGAGAACAGGGTAAGTAAAATGGTGATGAAAATCAAGGTATGAAGAAAAATGTTTGAAAAACCAGGGTAACAAGAGGTGTTAGATTTATTTACTTTGTTTTACGGCATCTCAACACATCAATGGATCATTTAATGTCGACAAGGTTTTTTGGGGTAGGTTCGTATCAATAGATATATGTATTCTTTGTAAGAAATCAGTTTGTAGACCAGGTTTCATTGAGGTAGTTTTGTAAAGAGGGTTTTTGTTGAGAGTCAAAACTATTGTTGGTATTTTTACTATAAAAATCTATTTTTATATTCTCATGGTGGTTTGGCCGCACATTGACAATTTCTACTATTCCGATCTTCAAAACCTCGAACCTCCTAACCAACTGTCATTTTCAGGCCTCAAATGCGATTATCATTAACTACGTAGTAGTTGAGGAAAGGATCGTGTAATTTACAATGACTATGATCGCGATATATACAATGATTTAACGATGCATAATTTTGTATAATTTTAGAAAAATATGACAAATTGGAAAATTTCAAGTCCGATGAAATCTTAACGAATGAAACGCGTCACAAGAATCTTTCCAGTTTGTCATATATATATATATATATATATATATATATATATATATATATATATATATATATATATATAGGGATCATTGTAATTGTAAACTCCACTCCTTTCATTACTTTCATTAACTATATAGTAATTAATGAAAACGCATATATATATATATATATATATATATATATATATATGAAAATTAACATAAAAAAGTCAACACTTAGAGGCGACAGTCTGTTTCATGCTAGACGCAATCGTCAGGTTCATTTTTATTTACACACGCTCTATCTCTGATATTGAGACCATAAATATACCACATCTTAAAACTATATTTCTTCATATATATATATATATATATATATATATATATATATATATATATATATATATATATATATATATATATATATATCCGTCGTTTCAGAGGACGATGGTTCGAGTCCTGCTGGAGAGCGCATATTTTTTAATGAAATTTCTTGAATATTCAGGCCAGCAGATGAAAATAATTTGAAAGATTTTTGAAACAATACTGGTTAATAAAATATGAATATCCACTAAAAATAACATTTAAACTTATATATATATATATATATAGATAGATAGATAGATAGATAGATAGAGAGAGAGAGAGAGACGGAGACAGAGACAGACAAACAGACTGAGAGACGGAGCGAGAGAGTTACACATGATCATAATGAAAAATAGAAACAGACTGAGATAAATATAAACAGACAAGGATAGACAGTTTATATTACAATTATTCAGAAAAGTAGTCATACGAATAGATTTGAATTTATATATATATATATATATATTTGGTTGGATAGATGTGAGTTTGTGACAAACTCACATCTATCCAACCAAATATGTTAGCTCTATCTCTGATATATGAGCGCTTTCTAACAAAGTAGCGCATAATATATAAATAATTATACATATATATATATTTATTTATATTTATATTCACTTTCACATATATATATATATATATATATATATATATATATATATATATATATATATATATATATTTAATTATGCAAATATGAATACAGATATATCTGAACCGGATAAAAGTGCATTTATTACTATATATATTTATATTGTTTGTTTCATACCTGAAATATTACCGAACTCTGCAGTGGCACACTTGCCGGTACTCGAAGCCATGTAAAAAATTAAGCAGATTTATCCATTTTCCAGGCTTTGCTCTATGGAAGTTTGGCGTAACACAATTTTCCTGATATGCATTTTTCCCACAAATATGAATAACTTTTCAAATATTTAAAACGGTGAATCACTCCTGAGAGGACACGGAGTCCTACCAGAATTTATTATCGCTGGGTACAATCTTAGATGACACTTTGTTGATGACAGGCACAGAAAGATGATGTAATGGAATAACTTGCCACCCCCATGAGTGGTGGTAACCACCTATAAGTATCTGTTAGGACAGCGGACAGCTGAGCCGAGCTGAGATCTGCGAGAAATAGCGGCCTTTCGATAGCAGCACGTACACAATTGTACTGACTTGCGACGGCCGTGCGCATAACTATTACTCCCTTGATTATTGTACTGGTTTCTGCAATAAACCTGTTACTATTTATCCACCGTGTTTGTCCATTCCATATTCCTATTAGCACGGAATATAACAAAAGAAAACTGTGATAACTCCTAGAGAAACTAATAAAGGAAAGCGTGAAGAAAGGACTAACCATCAATTATAAAAAAACAAAAAAAAAACACAATGTATGGCTGTTAGCAAGAGAAACAAACCGAAATATGAACTACGAACTGGAGATCCCAAACTGAAACAAGTACAAAAGTTTTCATATTTTGGGAAATCTTTTAACAGATAATGGGGAATATGACATCAAAATTCGAAGTATACATCAGAATAGGGGACGATACCTTCTAAAAAGTAAATATCGTTAGAAACAAAAAAAAAGAAAAAAAAAAGAAAGAAAAGCTTTTATCCACTGGGATAAAAGCGTTGATTAAAGTAATTCAAAAAGTGACTTGACCCAAAGAGTTGTGAGTTCAATACCTGGCCACAGCAAAGGTGAAACAAAAACTTGAAGAGTTGAGTTACTAATATAGAGATATATTAACTAAAATAGAGATATCCATAAAAGGCATGGCAAGTGGAACTAAAACAATCTACTCCCATAGACTAAAGAAAGGGTTTGGTTTGAAATTTCAAACTATATCACCTGAAAAAGGCCGGAGTGTACAACGACCGAAACGACGTGAATATGGCAATAAAGATGAGGTCAACAATCCGAACAAAGTAAATAGTGTAAATAGTTACAATACCACATCTCAGAAATATAGACAGATACTTGTTTCTTCCTTGTATTTATTAAAAAATACATAACGTCAGCAAATTAGTTCTTCTTGTGAATAAAGACAAAAGGAAAACTTATCTTAGTCGACGCGTTTCGTCCTCTGAGGGACTTTATTAAGGCAAATTGCTAAATTCCCTCACGTTTCGGTTATAAGTTTTCCTTTTCGTCTTTATTCACATATAAAAATGTATATGGAAAACAAATACTGAATTTCCTTTTAAAAATGCCGTAGAACAGAAAAACGACCCTAGCTCAATAACCCCTTGTCTAATTTTAATAAAATTTGACACTGCATTTGGCAAGGGTTTAAGGTACAATATGCTTCTAAATTGGTGGGGGTATTAAATATCGTTTAAGTTGTATATCGGGAATACACACATAAGCATAGTGATTGTCAGAGATTTCATTGTTATTGAAGGGAATGACAAGAAGGTTTCGTGAAGTAAAATGATATAAGATTAATGTCCAAAAGGAGGTTGGAAAGAAAAAGAGTAGACTTAAAAAAAGAATTTATGCGGGATTGCTGAAAAGTTTTAGGTCCAACACATCTCCCTAAATCGGACCAAATGATGAAACACAAGAATTTCATGGGAGGAATGAATTATTGATCGAGCTGGAAACTCTACAGGAGATTCCTTTTCAGCAGAGTGAGATAGATAGATAGATAGATAGATAGATAGATAGATAGATAGATAGATAGATATAAAGAGACTGACATAGATAGATAGATAGATAGATAGATAGATAGATAGATATAAAGAGATTGACATAGATAGATAGATAGATAGATAGATAGGGGAGACATTGAATAGATGCGAACATACTAAGATGGATAGACAGTCAGGCAGATAGAATAAAAAATTATATAAAAAAGAAAGATTTTTGAAAGAAAAGAGAATGAACCAAAAAAGGCTTAAAAACAGTGAAGAAAGAAAGAACGAAAGAAAGAAAAAAGAAAGAAAGAAGAAAAAGAAAGAAAGAATGGAAGAGAGACAGAAATGGAGAAAGAAGTAAAAAAAGAAAGGAAAAAATAAAGAAAGAAGAGACAATGAATAATTTTTTCGATTGATTTGTTTTTTACGGTTTATCAACCTATTTAAAGACGGAAAATATTTTTAGATTGTAAGAATTTTTTTGTATATCATAATGCTTTTCTGATACAGGTCCTAGTAATTACCCAATAGACGGAAGATGTGGATCCATAATTTCCAAAGGGTAGTTGCGTGTAAATGAACCCGACTGGAATTGAAACTCGGTTCTCTGATTTCCAATCCCGAGCCACTATATATTACAGACTTACAGCGGCTGGTATATCCAAACGGACACCCATCTAGGTACTGAACAGGCTCGACGTTGCTTAACTTCGGTGGTCGTACGAGAACCGAGGTTTCAACGTGATATGACCGTATGCCAATGATTAAACAAAGAAGAGGAAGAGAGGAAGAAAGAAAGAGCTTCAGCAAAATGACAGAGAAGAAAGAAAGAAAGAAAGAAAGAAAGAAAGAAAGATAGCAAGCTGTATTGAAAGAAAGAAAGAAAGAAAAAGAATTTCAAAGGAAAAGTTTATGATCAAAAAAAGAGGAAGAAAAGAATGAAGAAAAAGATTTGTAACATGCCAGTAGAGAAAGAAAAAATAACAAAGAAAGAAAGAAGGAAAGAAAGAAAGAAAGATAGCTAGCAAGCTGTATTGAAAGAAAGAAAGAAAGAAAGAAAGAAAGAAAGAAAGAAAGGATTTCAAAGGAAAGCTTTGTAACATGCCAGTGGAGAAAGAAATGAATGAATAAATGTTTCGAAACAAGAGAAAATGATTAAAGCAGGAAAGAAAGAGAGAAAGGGCTTCGTAAGAAAACAGTGAAGAAAGAAAGAAAGAAAAGAAGGAAGAAAGAAAGAAAGAAAGAAAGAAGGAAACAAGGAAAGAAAAGATCAAGAAAGACCGTGATGACAGAAAGATACAAAAAAAACGTTTGAAAAGAAAGAAAATGTAAATAGCATGAGAAATATTAGAAAACAAACCGAAGCCGAAAGAAAAAAAAATATTGAAGTTAGAAAGAAATAACGAATTGATGTAATATTTAAAAGGCGACACTCTCCCCAGTTTAAATACTATCAATAATATGAAGTCTTTAATCAGGTGTTCGGCTTTACAAACACGTCGATGAAAAAGGCGTTGGTTGACAAAAATAAAGAATCAATGCTGAACACTTAGCAATAAAGGAAGTGAGAAAAAAAGGCGAGTTTAAACAATGAGCGAGTATGTCAGTACACAAATCCGCACGAATATCCACGTAGTTGTTGTCTGAAATAAAACAAGCTCAGCTTTTAATCTCATCGTTGTCTTTTTGAACAGCCGTCTCGTTTGGCGGGAAAACATAGGCCAGCAGTTTCGAAGCAGACAACGGAAAGCAAGACAAGACATGGAGGCGGTTGGGAGAGAAACTATAGCGGAAGGAGAAAAGTAGGGTGATGGAGTAAAGCTAGTAACGCTAGAGAAATTGAGAGTGTTGAATGATGAAAACTTTCTCATTTTTAATAGTTTTTTAAGAGTCAAATTTATAAATGGTGGAGAAAATATACACTCAAAGCAGATCGATAAAAAAATAAAAGTCACTGCTTCTTCTATGTGCCGTGTCCCTTCAGGACGTTGGCGATCCACAATTTCTTGAACTTTGTATCTCTCAATAAATTTCGTCTTTGTTATCTCTCCTAAACTTTGTCCAGCCATCAATTTACTAAAGCCCTCTAGGTAGGTTATGCGTTGTGTTCATCTGTTCCTCTCGCCTTCAATCTGCCCTGTAAGTATCATATTTTCCAAGCCATCTTTCCTCATTATGTGTCCTTTTGTTTCCATTGTTTCTCAAACTTCATCGTTGCTCAGATTCTCATCATTTCTCCTGTAGAAGCACATTTCTGCTGTTTCAAATCTCTTCTTCATCCAACATTCATTGCCATATAGGAGGACTGATATTACATAAGAGTTCAGTACTCTTTTCTTTGTTTCTAACGAATTTTTTTCTGTTTCTTAATACTTTTCTTAGCTTTTGGAAAGCATATTTCGCTATCCCAGTGCGTCTTCGGATTTCAGTTTTGCACTTTCAATCCTCTGTTAAAGCACTTCCCAGATGTTTAAATTGTTGTACTTGTTTGATTTTGGTATCCCCAATTTGGAATTTGCATGTGGGACTGCTCCTTTTTACTAAAAACCAGGCATTCCATCTTGTAGTTTCCTTTCTGTATATGCTATCAATACAGTGCCATTTGCATATCATATGCTGTTAAGATTGCTGCTGCCAATAATGAATCCTGGTAGGACTTCTAATTCTCTCAGAATCGTCTCATTATATAGGTTGAACAAGTCCGTTGAGAAGTCATATCCTTGTTTTGCACCCCATTCTATTTTTGTGTATTTACTGAACTCAAAAAATTAACTAACATATAAAAATAACTATATATTTTACTACATGAATGAATTAAAAAAATTAACTAACATATAAATTTCTTAACTATTTGTTGTTCCAAGAAGCTGCAATTATCAAATTTTCAATGCGAGGCGATTGTTCTCTTTAAGAAAGAACATCCAACTTGGAGACTGAAAAATGTCAAGAAATATTACCAGAGTTCTTTAGTTTGAACACCACATGTTAACATTTGTGTTTTTGTTCTGTTTTAAGCTATTAAATTTCTATCCTTCGTTTTTGTTTCAAATAACTGTAACAAAAATTCCAACACCTAAATAAACTCTACCAAATTCTCCTGTTTTTTTTTGGGTTTTTTTTTGTGGGACACCCTGCAGTTGAAATCTATAGGAAGGTGGTTAAATTAGTTACCGTCGAGGTTCATTTGGCCATGTATATACAATTTGAACTGAGTATTTATTGAATCAGAACTTATTCAAAAAATATCACCACCACAGACTTGTGGATGACATTTAATTAAAAGAGCTAATGGGGATTTCATAAAAAGATTTTGAGTCTTCACAATTTTTAGAAACCGGATTTATTTTTTACTCTCAGAGATACAAAACAAATAATTTAAATTTGAAATTTGATCTTCTTGCCGTCGAGCTGATATTTATTTAATCCATCGTTACTGCAGGGTACTCAACAAAAATACAGGAAATTTTAGATTTATCATTTAAGGCTGTCAACATCGCTTATAATCCCGTCTGGTCCTGATGCTTTCTTTCTGTTCAATTTGGCCAGTGCTGATTCCATTTCAAATTTTAATATTCTTGTGTATTTCCTGTTGTTTCCTTTTGTCAGTGAGAGAGTTCTTCGATCTATTTGTTCCATCTTTGAAGAATTTTGTCTTTCTCTAATATCACTGACCCATCCTTGGAGTTTATGCATCCTTTTGATGAGCAGATCTTTTATTTTTTATGCATATCTACTTAATCTGTAATACTACAGGGTGACCCACAAAAACCAGGAAATTTTAGATTTACTATATGATGAATATATAAAAAAATTAAGTAATTTCACTATATGAATGAACTAAAAAAATAACTAACATAATTTTTTAACCATTTGTTGTTCCAAGAAGCCACAGATATCAAATTTTCATCGCGAGGTGATTGCTCTCTTTAAGAAAGAACATCCAAATTTGGGACCAAAAATGCCAAGAAATTTTGCCAGAGTTCTTTAGTTTGAACACCATATCTAACATTCGTGTTTTTGTTCTGTTTTAAGCTGGACGCCAGTGTCGGATTATCTCAACAACCCTGAGTTTTCGCTTACCTGGTGATTGATTCTGAACAGACATTCTCTCAATGACGTAGCCTGGGTCTGGGCGAATTTGCCCGACTGTTATCGTTGTGACTTTGGTCTAGAGGAAACGACTTCGCACGCCTACTTCCATTGTCCTCACGTGCGCTCATTCTGGGACTATGTCACCGAATTGACGGTGCGTATAGATCCCAAATCCATATCTTGTCTCTATCGATGTCTCGTGCGCATGTGATAATGTATCGCCCTCGTCCTCTGGGATCAAATGAATGGTGTTTCTCACGTTTCTAGCCGTGGCAAGAATGGTGATATAGACGTCGCGAATTGGAGAGATTCTTACGACACGAACACTATTCTCATCAAGTTCTGGCCGGATTCTTTCAAGATGAAGATCAGAACTGATAAAAGGTGTTTGCTATCGACAGATTTCAGTGAAAGGTGGGTAGGAGTAGCGGAATGTCGAACCGAACCCTAGGGAAACGTAGGATTCAGTTCGACATTCCAACCACCTGAAGAAGGTCGGAGCGTACAACGGCCGAAACGTTGCGATGAACATGGCGACAAAGATGAGGACAATAGTCCGAATAATGTAATTAGTGTACATAATACCTCATCTCAGAATTATAGACAGATACTCTTTCTTATAATATTCTGAACATAAATATCGCATATTCCACTATATATATATATATATATATATATATATATATATATATATATATATATATATATTCCATACATATATATATTTTTAAGACATTTTTATGCTTATACGTTCTTTTTTAAAAAAAAATGTCTTAAAATAATTGTTTGAATTTGTCCATTTCATAATGTGTGATGTCATATATATATGTGTGTGTGTGTGTGTATACAAATTTTCCATATTTTTTTATATATATATATATATATATATATATATATATATATATATATATATATATATATATATATATATAATATGGAAAAAAGAACCATTTGTACATATTGAAATGTTATGTCATGTTTTTTAGGTTTCCTGTGCATTTGTGGTATTGTGGTATATTTAGTATTGACCCATGAGGGATGAGTTTTTTTGGGTTTTTTTTTTATGGTGAATGTGCAACTTGTAATGAATAAATGGGTCATGTTCGTATTTCCCTTTTGGCCTAGTGCCACAACTGTTTTAATTAAAATAATAAATATACATTATGTTTATAACATCCAGAAACTATTAAGTTTTCAATCAAGAATGAAGATGTTTTCAGTTTAATACAATTTTAAGACTCAATAGTATTAAACACGATGTAATTTTGTGGCGATTTGGTGCCAAAAAATGGTAAAAGTTAGGGATTTGGAATCTTTAATTCCCCATCAACTCTACAAAGAAATCATCCGTCATATCACAATTTCGTAGTTCGAACATTGATTTATTGCTCTTATTGTTGTTTTTGTTGTCATTTCTGTTATTGTTTTTTTTTTTAATTTAAATTTTCAGCCATATAGCTTCCCCGCGATTTGGGTGCAAATGGAAAAATGTGTCACCTGATTTTCCGTGGATAACGAAGTTGTATTGTAGATTTATTTAATTTAAAGGAAAAAAAAAACTTAACATAATATCTTTTAACGAGGTTTTGTTGCAATGACTTGCTGACTCGAGCTTTTAAATAATTATTAAAGAGTGTGATTCGTACATACAGTCCATCACCGAA